AGATCATCTCCCAGCCGGTGGAGGATGAGAACCAGTGCTTGGCTCCTTCAGTCCAGCTGGTGAGTTTTGGCTACAGAGATCTGCCCCTGGCGGCTCTGGACATCTCGCTGGCAGGCTCGCAGCTCCTTTCCAATGCAGATGAAGACGAAAACAGGGAAGGGTGAGTGAAACCAGAGCTGGACTGTGTTATTATTAAAGTTTGATGTCATTAATATAGTATTGTCTACAGTTTGAAGTCACTTAACATTTACAAATTGCCACTGTTCTTGACTATGTGTTTTTCATGATTGTTATGTGACCAGGAATTAGTCAGTGTTCACTTTTTGTTTTTATGATTCCTACTTTTACTGTTCCTCTGACTTGTTTGGATGAATGACGAGGAACATTTTGTTCCGCTGCGACTTGCACAAACTGGGCTCGAGGCTTAATCAATTAACGCCTATAAACTTCAAATTCCATGTTTTTATACACAGATCAGTCATAACATCATGACCACCTGTTTAGTACTGTGTACACAGGAGTCAGCGCGGCAGATGGTTGGCACTTCTGTGAATCCGTTTGCTTCTATAGGTATAGTGTCAGGTAGAGCACACGTGTTGACCATTCAGTGAAAAGCTTGTGTAAAAGGAGTGAAAACTGTGGTGGTGAGGACAAGTTGGAGATCATTTTTTTAGACAAATTCAACAGCCTCCACACTCTGGGTGTGATACAGCCGCTGAATGTTTCTCTTCATAGGGACCAGTATTCCTAATTTTAAATCATTTGAACAAATATTCAATCTAAATGGAAAATACAAATGAAATTTAAAAGTTTAATCTACAGTAGCTCAACCTCATCGGTGAGCTTTGGGCGTCCATGACCCTGTCGCCGACTCACTGCTTGTCCTTCCTCAGACCATTGTTGGTTGGTACTAACCACTGCAGACTGGGAACGAGACCTGCAGTCTGGGAGACGCTGTGACCCAGTCGTCAGCTATCACAGTTTGGCCCTGGTCAAAGTCACTCAGATCCTCACCTGTTTTTCTTGCTTCCAGCACATCAACTACCTGATACACCCCACACGCTGACGGGTACCAGTGTAACGAGATAACGTTATTCATGTCATCTGTCAATGGTCATAATGTTATGGCTGATGGGTGTAAGGCACCATGATGTAAAATGGTAAAAATGAATTATACAGGCAAAAAACAACAACAACAACAATTACACAGGTTTGGAGATGAGTGCACAGTAACGTCATTTGCTGATTGCGACTTGTTTTTTCCACTTCAATGTGAATGTGTGCAGTGCTGGTGTGACATATGGATATGAGGTCACATCACAGCTGTCCTTTTGATTAGTCACAATATTAACAGCTTTTTTCATAGCTGTGCCTGCTGTCTTTCCATTCTGTCCACTCAAACCTGGCTCCTACCACTAGCTCTCACTGGGATGCACATAAACACCATAAGCTGTAGTACATGGTTCAGCGCACACACAAACCATATCTATACACAGTTCCTCATCCAAGTCGTGTTTCTGACACCAAATCAGGCCTCAGTCCATTGGTTCCTTTCAGTTAGCCAGGCATGGCCAGAAACAGATGGATGTCACAGACGCGCCATCCACAGCGGGCGGCGCCAACATTCATACTATGCTTGTATCACAGCCCTCGTGTGTCCTGTTGGATGTCAGGGTCACTGAGAGCCTGTATTTCGATCCCTGTGCATAATGGATAGGGGTTTACTGTGATTGTGATTTGATGCCATGCGTTCACTGTCCTGGGTTGGCATTGTTGAGAAACACCTTGGTGTACAGTGATGAATTATGCAGGCAGCGTTTCCTGTTGTAGCTCAGCCCGTGAAATACCTGTATGAGTTATCCGATAACTGGGTCACAGGCCTGCTGGTATTGAGTAATCTCAAAACAGACACTGCTGTTATGGTCAAATGAGCTTGGGTAAGAACTCCTGCTGTATGAAACAGATTTACCGCTCACTGTGGTGAAGGTTATTTTACCTGTGAGCTCAATTTACCCAAACTGCGCTTAGTGCGATGGGGTCACTATTTCATATTCAGGTCATTAGTGTGAAATGTCTGCCTGTACAAATGCTGCCAGTGGGGCTTATAAAAGTCATCGTACTTCCTTTTAACTTTAATGAAATTTCATTTAACTGAACCGGGCATGAGCCACAGTAATATGTATGTTACGCCTCCACTATACCTTAAATGCAGTACTAATCCTTCACACTAACTATTACCAGGTCTTGTGTCTGGCCTTGTACTGGGGAGTTTCATTAGGAGGTTCCTATAGGTCTTGGTTTGAGATAACAGAAGTAAAATATCATGAGAGAATCTGCAAGACAGTCGAGTAGTGAAAGAGAAAAGCTGAGAACATGAAGCAAAGAGGCCTCTGACATTAGAAACAGAGATGTAGCGAGAGTGCGTCTCACTGAATGTGTCAGTCAGCCTGCTGCCCTCCAGGACCCCACTCTGTTTTATCCTGTGGATTCCAGCACCGGTGGGCTTTCAGTGATTACGCCTGTGCCTCCATCTCCTCATTACCGCATCAATCACCCTCTCGCCGTTAGTCTCCTTAAGTGACACTCACTAAAGCCACACCCCGTGCACCAGTTGTACGACGGGCTCCTGCGGCATAAGGTGGGTTTCTAAAATCGGTGCGTTCACATCAGCTACCTGTGAGTTGACTTTGCTGGGTCATAACAGTATGTAAGCACTGTCATGGCAATATGTGCTTTTGCTTTCAGAATGCTGAAAGGAAAAGGTGGGGTGCATCTAGGAGAGAGACCGATTGCTAAATTCATCCTTAGGGAAATGGGGCAGAGGAAATGAACCTTTTTTTATGGGCGGGTGGCATGATGAAGTGGAGTTGAGAGGAGGCAAGACAGCAGCAGTGGGATGGCAATCCACAGCCATCAAAATGGAAATGCATGTGGGAGAGGAATCTGTTGGCTGCTCCAGTGACTCCACCTGGGAAAGTGGATTGCTCAACCACCACCACCACAACCCCTCAACACACCCCTCCACCCCCACCCTGCATTAGCTGGCTCATTGGCTTTCTGGGATAATAAAGGAGCATCATGAAAAGCTGTGCATGGGAAATGTTTAGGCGTCCTCTGTTGTGATGTTTGGCAGAACAGGCGCATGCTCTCCTGAAACAGAATGTCACAACCACAGTAGAGGTGTTTCATCAACATGGTGACGGTTCACTGGGTGAAGGGAGGAAGTTATTTTCACTGGTAGTTTGGAAATGGCTCACTGTCAGCAAAACTTTTCTCACCTACTCCTTCCAGAAAGAAAGTGGGTGTAAGCTAAAAATAAGCAACAAAACTGTTTTGTTGTTGTTGATGTAACATCAAATTTTGTATCATAGTTCTTGAAGTAATCGGTTTCATGAGTACCTGGCAGAAAATGTACAAATGCACATCTTGGAAGCAGGAGACAACTTGCAGGCTGTTGTTTTCCTCAAAGGTTCACAGATTAGATGCATAATGAGCAGAGCTTTATGCTGTCATGGTTTACCTATGCTGTAAAGCTGCAGTATGTTTCATAGCGGGAAGCAAGCAGAGGGGATTAATCAAGGGAACGGGCTCCTGTGTCAACCTGCCACTGTGTGATCAAGCACCTATTGTCAGTCATGTTTGTATATCATTGACTGTGAAGGTGGAGCTGACCTTAGTGCTGTCTCTTGTATAGCGTGCTGCCCTCACTTCACATGACAGCACAGTAGTCCCCCCCCACACACACACATAAACAGAGACACAGCACACAGAGTATGTATACACTGAGAAGAAACAAGGCCAGACCTGCGCTGGTTCATATTCTGGTTTATACTGGGTATATAATGAGTTTATACCTCATTAGAAATAACATCACTCCTTCACTGATGTCCATTCCTGTCAGATAACGCACCACTTCTCCCAGAAAATTGTTGCAATCACAAATTCTTTGGGTTTTTCATGCTTGTTTCTTTTGTTTGCATTGGAACGACAAAAAAGCTGAGAAAAAAAGCCAAATCTGGACCACTCCACACAGAACTCCAAAAACAAACTGGACAGAATTAGTTCTGGACCTCTCTTCTTTTGCCAGCTGCTCCAGGTCTCTCAGATTTGAAGGCCTCCTTCTCCCAGGTGCCATTCTGAGATCTCTCCACAGGTGCTCTATGGGATTTAGACCTGGACTCATTGCTGGCAGCCTCAGAACTCTCCAGCTCATTGTCTGAAGTCGTTTCTGGTGCTGTGTGAAGTCTGCTTTGGGTCATTGTCCTGCTGTAAGACCATGACCTCAGATGGAGACACAACTTTCTGACACTGGGACCTACACTGTGGCCCAGAATTTGTTGGTAGTCTTCAGATTTCATAAAGCCATACACACAGTCAAGACATGCAGTGCCTAAAGCAGCAAAGCAACACCGTAACATCAGTGAACCTCCACTGTTTGACTGTAGGAACCATGTTCTTTTCTTTGAAGGGCTCATTTGTTTTCTTAAAACAGTAGAGTGATGTGCTTGACCAAAAAGCTCTATTTTAGTCTCATCTGTCCATGGGACATTCTCCCAAAAGAGTTATGGCTTCCTCAGGTCAGTGTTGGCAAACTCCAGTCTGGCTTTTTCATGTCTGTTTCAGCAGTGGGGCCCCCTGGGTCTCCTCCTACCATAGCGTCCCTTGTTATTCAGATGGCGGCTCATTTGTTTTCTTAAAACAGTAGAGTGATGTGCTTGACCAAAAAGCTCTATTTTAGTCTCATCTGTCCATGGGACATTCTCCCAAAAGAGTTATGGCTTCCTCAGGTCAGTGTTGGCAAACTCCAGTCTGGCTTTTTCATGTCTGTTTCAGCAGTGGGGCCCCCTGGGTCTCCTCCTACCATAGCGTCCCTTGTTATTCAGATGGCGACAGATAGTGCAGGCTGACACTGTTGCTTATCCACCATTTGAATAATCCTTCATTGCAACCTGTCATCTATTTTTCTCTTTTGTCCACGTCCAGGGAGATTAGCTACAGCGCCATGGGCTGTAAACATCTTGACAATGTTGCGCACAGTGGACTCAGGAACAGCCAGATCTCTGGAGATGGAGCCTTGAGACTGTCCAGGCTTTTCCACTATTGTGGTTCTCAAATCCTCAGCCAATTATTTGCTCTTCTTTCTTTTCGCCATACTCGGTG